TCCCCATACTCCCACCACCACATCCTGGCATCCCAGCCCCCACCTGAACTGCCTTCCTTCTGGTTGCTAGGGATGAACTGGCCCTGCCCTGAAGTTCCACCCTCTACTCAAGAACTTCATTCCAAAAGTTCTTGGGCTATCCCTGGGCTCTTCTTTCTTTCTTCCTTCCTGCATTTTCTTTTGTGGGACTGGGGATTGAACCTAAGAGTACTCTACCACTGAGCTGCATCCTCAGCTCTTTTTGAGACTGGGCCTCGCCAAATTGCCAAGGCTGGTCTCGAGCTTTTGATCTGTCTCAGCCTCCTGAATAGCTGGGATTACAAGCCTGTGCCACTGTATCTAGTTCTCTCATCACTCTCTATCTCCCTCTCAAGGAGACCATTCTTACCAAAGAGCTCTGATTTCCCCCATCACCTTCTAGTCATTTCCCCATTTTCTCTTTCACAACCAACCTTCTCTAATGAGGGTTAATGCTGTTTACTTCCTGTCCTCTAACCTCCTCTCAGATCCACTCCAGCCACCGTTCACCTCTACCATCCCTCTGTCCAAGACACTCATGACCTCCAGGTCACCAAACATAAAAGTCAATAATGTGTTCTCTCATTCTATTGGTCCTGTAAGTGGCACTGGCACAGCTGACTACTTCCTGCTCTTCAAAACGTCCTCTTTCACTTGGCTTCCAAGATGCTGCCTTCCTCTCCCCCCGTTTCTCTCCCTGGCTGCTGCTTCCTGGCCTCCTTGGCTAGAGGGTCCTCATTTTCTTCATCTTTCCAACCTCTAAATGCTTCAGACCTCTTCTCCTTTTATCTTCTCCACATGTATTCCCAGATGCTCCATGTTGATGACTCACAGACTTCTATCTCTAATTTGGACCTCTCCCCTGAATTCCACATTCCCACGTCTCATCACATGGCCAATTTCCCCACTTAGATGTCTGGTAGACATCTGAAATTTATTGCATCCCAAACCAAATCTTGAGTTTCCCTGCATACCTACTCCTCCTTGTGGCCTCCCCCATTTCACTAAATGGAACTGCTACCAATTAGCTGCTGCAAAATCCAGAATTTTCTTTGACTTCTCTTCTCTCATATTCCATAACTGAACCATCAATGAATCCTATGAAGTTTACTCTGAAATTGTGTTCAGACCCAATTTATGCCCATTATTCTTGTCCAAGTCATCTTTCTCCTAATCCATCTTAATAGCCTTCTATCTGGTTTTCCTGGTTCTGTTCTCATCCTCCCCTCCATCTAGCAAAGAAAATGATCCTTTAGGAGTCAAAGCCAGGTCATGTTCTGCATGTTCTGCAGAAACCCCTAGAAATATCTTCTCATTTTGCTTAAATAAAAGCCTGCTGGCTATCTCTCTGGCATCACTTCCTGCTATTCTCCTTTCCTGCTTTTCTGCACAAGTTACAGTGGCCTCTTTGCTGTTCTTATTGCTGGAGCAAGCCCTGTCTACTGTACCTCAGAGCCTTTGCACTTACTCTTCTTAATATCTGAAAGGCTTTTCTCCTAAAATAACTGAAGCAATTGCCCTCTTGTTGCATTCATACCTCTGTTCAAGTTTTCCTTTATCAAGGAAAACTGCTTTGACCCAACCACCCAAATACAAAAAAGCTCCAAACCCTACACTTCTGACCTCCCTTATCTACTTCATCCTCACGCATTATAACACACATTTGATTGTGTATGTGTGTGTGTATTTGGCTCATTGTATGTCTCCCTCCCCATACCAATCTCATCACTAGAATGAGCATTCCACAGAGGCTTTGTTCTGTTCACTATCACATCCCAGCTCAAAGAACAGCACCTACCACATAACAGGTGGTTCAACAATTGTTGAATAAATCACCAAAGCTATTCAAATCTCATCAGTTCTCCAAAGCATCACCTGTGCACTACTAAGCTGACGTCTTATGGTTTATACATTTGACATCTGATTTTCAAATAATGATCACTAAGTGGTAATTCCAAAGAACTTGTCCAAAACAGCAGAGTTCTCCTCTTTGTAGAATTTCCTTCAACTTCTGGGCTCCTCCCGGCTTTGATCTTCCTCTCAGCATCCCACTCTCTTATCCTTTGTCAGATTTCACTGGATGTCAACTTGGCCTTGCTATGTCTTGTTCAAGGCACCACATTTGAAATTCTGCCTAATGCTTTGCCAAAGGATAATCACTGTCCTCAACATCAATTAGACCCTTGGATAGGGTGCAGGAGAGCATGAAAGTAGAAGACTCCAGAACTGCTTTCTTTCCTCTGTCTTCTTTTCCTCCTCTTCTTTGTGTCCTGTATATCATATCTTTTCCTGGTTTACTTTTTAAAATCAGGAATATTATAGAAATCAAGTTGATTAGCTTCAATGCCATTGTACAAAGTTACTGTCCCTGAAGCTGGATTGTGCTTAGAAATACATCACAGGCAAAGCCCATATTCTGGTTCAGAGTACACTTGTAATTATGTAGAGGAAAAAAATCTGTATTAGAAAAGGTTGAATGTCCAGGTATGGGAAATAGATTGACCTCTACTCAGGTTTCATACAGAGTGAAAAACCTGCATCTCTTTCCCAGTGTGCACACCGACAGTGCCAGAGCAGCACCACAGCCTAGGAATCACTCAGCACAAGGGTGCTGAGGCCGTCCACAGCCTGACCTCTAGCAGAGCTTGATTTATCATTCTCATTTCATATAATTCTGAATAAATTTTTTAGGGTATAATTCAAACAACCTATTTCTTTTATGGGGGGGTATCGGAGATCGAACTCAGGACCTTATACTTGCAAGGCAGGTGGTGGAACCACTGAGCTAAATCCCGGGCCCTACAACCCACTTCTAACTATTGAAAATAAAATTAAGTAACTAGCTCTCTTCTAGACTTCTTCAAGCTTCTCAAGAGCACAGATTTTTGTCTTAGCCAAGCCATAGAGATGTATGATTGCAGAACTGGAAATAACCTTACAGGTCAGCTGGTTCTAATTCAAACTCTTTGGCTTAATAATGCAACCCTATCACAGGTGCATTAGATGCTTTTCATCTCTACTTGCTGTCTACCCCATACTTGAGGATTTCAATCCAAAAGAAGCTGAGTCTTTAGACAAGAAGACTAACTGGAAATACTTATCAGCCTTTGAAGTGTCTATCTAGGGCCAGAAATAAGGGGACAAGATCAGAATACAGCCATATTTCTCCAACTCTACTCAGAAGGGCAGCCATGGCTTGCTTGAAAAGAAATGAATTTACACATCTTCATAGGGGTGTTCTCAAGCTTGGCTCTTGTGAGAGAAATGTTTATTGGTGCTAGTAATGCAAAGCAGAGTCATCCATAACACTGTAAGAAATAACAGTGGTGTGTCACAGGCAGGAGTAAGGAGTCTTTCACCAAGGATCAGTGTTCTATCCTTGCAGTGGGATCAGGCAGGAACTTTAGAAGCTGAGTATCTGCCCCAAGGGGCTGATCAGAAATCAGGAGACCAAAAGCTACCCTTAGCTTTAAGACTTCTCATCTGAAACAGAAGGAGTGGCAGAGGAAATCTCCCAGTGTGTTACCAGACCTACACGTTGAAGCTCTGCAGTGCTGTTAGAAAAAAATGAGCTCAGCACCTTCAGCCTGCATTGGGCCAAAGCTCAGCTTTCCACACAGACATCCCAAATGGGGCCTTTAAAAACTCTGCCCTCCAATGAAGGTGGTTCGAGCAACACTTTGGATGATATCACAAGACTCCCAAGGCGATACTTCACTGCTTCCTCAGCATATGCCGGTGCCCATTTTACAGGGGGGGATTTATGATCCTTCTCTCAGTAGAGCGTGCCAAAGTTTTATAATATTCATTAAAAATCAGCACCACATGTAATAATATGGAATACTGCCTTACATAAGTGGGCTAAGTTATAGGTGTTTAGGGAAACATGGCAGAATTTCCTGGCCTTGGCAAAGGGTAAAGTTGCAGGCACCAGCACAGCACTAACACAACCTAATTTTATTGTAAATGTACCTTCAGCCTAAGTCCTAATTACTCTCTGTAAAGCTCTAACCACCACCAAGCTTTTTTCCGACAGGGAAGCCACATGATGGCCTTAAGGCGCAGCAACACTAACCCTGCAGGGTCCAGAGTGGAAGACAGGGGAAAGTGGTTGCAGCGCAAAGGAGCTGGGAAAGGGTCCTTTTTAACTGAGGCTTAGCAATAGATAGAGCTCTTTTCAGAACCCTGGCACGGGGGTTAGAGGCTCGCTCAGTGGGGCAGTCCAAGGAACTGCAGGAAGAGGATTCAAGCGTTGGCCTCGTTCGTGGGTAGGGGGCTGCTCTCCCAAGGCATACTCCACCCCGCAGAGGGGGACCCGGGCGCATCTTTTTCCGTCCCTCCAGACAGCCCAGGAATCCCAGGTTTGGAGGTCGGGCTCCCCTCCCTGGGTGTACTGCCTAGGGTTCTGGCACCCTCCTTGTGTGCCACACTAGCTCTCCCCACTACCCTAACCCCACTAGCCGGCAACCCTTGTCTTATAAGACCTGTAAAGCCAGGCCCAGGCAGACGGTCAGCAGGGCTGGGAGGAGCGGGCCCTCCCGGCCGCGCGGCCGCACAAAGCAGGGAGATGGGAGGCGGGAGGCGCGCCCCCTCCCGCGATCCGGTGGAGCGCGCGCTCACCCCCACCCCCACCCCACCCCACCCCACCCCGTCCCCGGAGCGCCGTTCGCGGAGCCGCTTACGCTAGTCGCCAGGCGTACGGCGCCCCAACAGCAGGGTGGTGCGCTGCCCGGCTCCCGTAAAGTTATTGTGAATGGGGAGCGGGTGACGTCAGCGCCGAATGTCAACAATGTAGCGATTGAGAGTGTGGGCGTTCCGGGGAGAGCGCGAGCCGCGCGGCGCGGAGCAAACACAGCCAAGCCGCCGCCGCCTCAGCTGCAGCGCGGCCGCGCACACCCGGGCTGCGGTCGCAGCAGCGCAACGCGAGCGCCCGCCGCCCTCCCGCCCGCTCCGCCGCCGCCGCCCCCGCTTTCTCCCGGGCCTCCCTCGCCCCCGCCCCTCCCCCTTCCCGGCACACTCAGGGGGCTGGGAACGAGCTGCCATGTGATGCGCGTCCCCTCCGCGAGCTCTCGGTGACCCCCGAACCGCCCACCGCGCCGGCTGCCGGGAGGGGGCTGCGGTCTGGGAAGACGCGGCGCAGAAGAGGCGGAGAAGGACCCAAAGTTCTCCGGTGAGGTGAGTCCCGGGCCCGGGCCCGGCGCCGGGCGGGGCGGCGGGGCAAGTTTGCGGGGCGCGCGGGGGAGGCGTGGGGAAGCGCCCGCCCGCCCAGCGCCCTGCCCGCCTTCGCGGTATTTTCTAGGAACTGGAAGGGGTGGGCATGAAGCCGGCGGACGCGCCGCGGCGACTGTGCGCTCGCCCGCCTGGCTGTTTACGGCGGGCGAGGCGGCATTGTATTTTGCTCGCGTCGACGGGTGTTTTGGAACAGCAGGGGGAGGAGGAGCAGAGGGTAATAAGTCAGGCGTGGGGAGGGCGGGCTGGCGGGAGGCGCGCGTCCGCGCGAGCAGGAGCAGCTGTCAGACCAGCGGCCCTGCCCCCGGTCCGGCGAGGCGCCGGCGCCCCCGGCCCGCGGTCCCCGCGCCAGGCCAGGCGGCCTCCGCCAGCTCACAGCGCCCTCGCCCAGGGCTGCTCCACGGAGACCGCGGCCGCTGCGCCTTGCGCTCAGCTGTCAGTCGCCCCCGGGTGGCCCGGACCACCGGGACGGCTGGGGAATTGGAGCTTAAGTTTAGGGTCTTAGGAAGAGGCGCTGGGGGCCTCGCGCTGCAGACCCAGGTGGAATCCCTCCTAGCCAATGATCGGGTTGTCGGACTGCGTCCTGCGGAGCCTAGCTTGGGTGCTGGCGGCTCCTGAGAGGGACACCTAGCACCCCTTGCCCCCAAGGTCCTGCATGAAGTCAGAGAGCCACACACCCACGCTCTACACTCCAGTCTCCAGCCCCGGTAGCTCCATTTACAAGAGTTTATCCAGGGGATACTTCACTTGCCCATGCCGAGGTGCCCCACGCCGATGGGTCTCAGTTCCCTCACCCAGTGGGTGCCGAGGAGCCGGGAGAGGGCGGAGAGGGCGCTCGTGGGCTTCCCCTGATGCCCCTGAGAGGGGGATCGACCGAACATCTCAGCGACCTCGGTCTGGCCAAGGATTTACAGGAACTTGGACCACGGGAGGAAGCGGGCAGGGCCGGGCGTCTGTGTCTGAACGGCCGTGCGCCCCTGGCTTTGGGGGTCGTGGGTGTGCGGGGAACCCCAGCATCCTCTCGCGTGGAAGCCAGTTCTGCAACTTGAGGGAAGTTCCCGCGGCCGCTGTCCGGATGGGTTTGTCTGCGGCCAGGAAGATGCGCCTCACAACCTGCTCGCCGGGTCACCACCGTCGCCACCACTCGTGACCACCGGGAAAGGAAGGAGATGGGGGTGTCTCATCCCCGAGACGGAGTCGCAGACGACTGTACCCGCGGGTAGCGAGACGAAGCGTTCCTCGGTCTTCACCTTCGCTGTCTAGTGCTGCGTTCTCTCACTCCGTGTAAATTTCATCTGTTGAGTGTATTTAACTAAAAAGGGTAATTACTTTAGATAAAAATCCTTTCCTGCCTAGTGGGAACCTTGGCAGAGATGATGCCTAATGAGATTTTTTTTGCTTTTGTCTGTTTAGAGTAAAATTAGAGATGTTAACTCTGATAACAGTTTTCTCAGATCATTAAAATGTAACATGTAGGAAAGGCATGTCGAGCTTCGAAGGCTCTGGCTGACATGAAAGAAGCTGAGCGTGAAGGCTGCCCCTCCTCCGGTGGAGAGGGTTATTTCGGTGAGGCATTGGGCGTCTTGCTTAAATGTGAGATCGCCCCGCCCTGGTTCTCGGCAGCTCCCAAGTAAACGGCATTTTTCATTCTTGCAAGGTAATAATAAACCTGAGTCAAAATGACATCTTGTTAGAATTAGGCTTTAGTCTGTAAGAGAGATTGCTAAATTACAGTGTTACATTCAAACTGCACCAATGAAAGGTCTGTCAGCATTTCCATTATAAATTCAGTTTTTCAGGAGTTTGTAATTTCACCACAAAACTTTGAGTGGGTGCAATGCTATTTCTTTTTTCTTCTTCTGGTGTTCTGGTCTTTTAAAAGATGCATTGATTGTCCCTTTCCATCCATCCTGTTTTCTATTCCTGAAACTTCAGTATTATTCGAATGTGGGAGGGTGGCAGGTGTCAGAAATGAATATACAACCATGGACTCAAGTACTTTGGTCAGTATTTTCACTTTGAATTTTGGAAGGCATCAGGTTTGCCATTTGGTAATCATAAATGTATTGAGTAAATTCTTCTGATATCTGTCTATTCTGCAGGTGGATTGAAATGTTATTTGGCAGTGTATATGCTGCGAGTATACTGAGAGATACATTTTCCTCATGCATGTGTGTGTCTGAACTCATGGCTAAATTATGAACACTGTTAGTTATTTTTCAGTCTTTTGTATGTTGCATATCAGAATCTGCCATAGAGAAGAGGGGTGAGGCAGAAAGGGAGGGTGGGAATAAAATACCCTAATTCACTTTCAATCTTACCAGTGCTTGAGAGGAAGCCATTTATTCTCTTTCTATTGAATTATGCCCTTTGACTCAGTATCTTCAGGCAATTCCCTTCCAGTCACTCACCTCTGGCTGCTGTGTGAGGGGCTTAATTATTTGCAAACTGCCTTGAAATCCCTAGATGAAAGACACAGAATAAGTGCAAAGTATTGTTATTCAGATATGGAATTTAATGATCCATTACAGTTCATGAGGAAAATGCACTTTGCAGTAATGGTAGGAAACGTTTCCACCTGATAGAGGGTAATAATAACTGCTTAAAAGTAGGTTCAGATTACAGATGAGACAATTAACTCTAGCCATGTGCTCTTCAATTTGTTGCAATTCATTTTGTGATCAAAGTGAGTTGCAGAGAGCCAGATGGTCAGGTTCACGTTCAAATCTCTCCTAGGCCAGCCCTTCACTTCTAGGCCCACTGTCTGTACAGCCCAGGACTTGGTTATTCATTAGCACTTGTGAGCTGTTCCTCAGAATTTCCTAATAGAGGTTCCTGGGATGCCAACAAAAGGGCTCAGGCCAATCTGTATTGTTGGGAGCAGTTTAATTTTACTTGGATTAACTCTCACTTAGTGTCTCTGGTGTAGATTCAGCCTTAACAAGGAAGAGGGCCCAGTGGGTCTCGAGCTCCATTGCGTGCGGCTCCACTGATCTCTAAGGTTTGAACTTCAGATTTCAGGGAGTGTTGCAAATACTGGCTTGATTGTTGAATGAATGGGAGAATACTGTCCTTAGGTAAATAAATACCTTGCTGTTTGTCTAGGGCAGTGATGGTGAACCTTTGAGAGCTTTCAGTGATAACAAACAGCCCACAGTGGCACGTGTGCCATAGGCCTAAACCACTGGTGGTGGGGGGTGACCATAAGATGCACATGACCCCACCTCTGTTCCACTCAGAAGTATCTCGCATCTGGTTTATATTCAGCTGTTGTTTATGTGTCTTAGTCATTCCTGAGCAAAGTGCTCTTCATTTCCATTTTTCACATCCTATGAATTTTGTATCTGGTCCTGGTGAGGAGAGGATGGGTGTGGAGTGGCAGGCAGTGACTACACTGCCTCACTCATTGTCTACTCTTGTCAGGCGGGAATTGGTGAAATGCTGGCTTTGTGTTGCCACATTGTTGGATTTTTCCAGGGGAAGCTGAATATTCAGGTTTTTATGTAGAATCCCCTATTTTAACATTTTGACTCAAAAAATTTTTTAAATGTTGGATGAGAACATGTATAAAAGCTAGAGCTGCCCTGCAGACAGCATGTTTTCCATTACTAAATAGACTGAAATGTCTTGTTGTTTAATATTTATGTATTTAGCTGTTTTCTAAAGGCTTGGCGCATAGTGGATGATTTGAGAGTATGTGCCAATTGAATCCTTGCAACTATCAAATAAATTAAAAAAATAAGAGAAACGAAACTCTGAATCAAACCAAATCAATGATGAACCTCACTTGGGGATGGATATCTCTTTTTAACAGAGAATTCAACGTGAAAGACCAAATGATACCAGGAACATAGTTTTATCCTCTACAGGTAAATAATCCATTGCTTTTGAGCCATGCACCTTCTATTTAGCTGTGAGTGACCAGATGGTAACTTGTCTGTTTAATGCCTGAGGACTTCTATGTGAGTTTTACATTTGAGAACACCCACTAAAGTAATAGATTTGCTTTATTGAATGCCCACATGTGCCAGACAGTGCTAACTACCTTATCTGTACGCATCTCATTGACTCCTCTGAGCAACCCTATAAAGTAGGCATTGTGCCCATCCTGCAGAATTACAAGGTATTAATCAGAACTTTGAATGTGATGTCTAAAGGTTATTTCTCTGCTATGTATACATAATCCAGCCTGGAGTCAGTGATGGTAGTTAGCACTGTCTGGCATGGTGTAGAACTGTGGTATGCAGAGAATATAGTCCCTGCCCTCATGTACTTGGACAGGGAACAATGCAACATATAATGTATTTGTCCACATCAACGATTTTAGGCCACAAACTGCTCATGTCCCTCCCTGTTCCTGTTTTCTCTCTCTGGATATTGAATAAGCTCCAGTGACATATGACCCTAGCAGAGGCACTCAAAGCTCAGAAGTCAGGGCTTGTTGCAAAAATTGGAATTTCTTAGGTAAAGCAGATTAATATGCTTTTGGCAGAGCTGGAGTCATGTTAAGGAAGGCAGTAGCAAAGCTGTGGGAATGAAGGAGAATAATTCTGTATTATCAATGACAGTATGTGACCTGGTGCTGTTCTATCTTTAAATTTTATGTAAATATTTACAAATTATTCAAGTCCAAATTGAAACTTTCTATAAACAAACACTTTGAATGATTACCCGAACTATATCCCTTTTAGGTTTTTTGGGGGGGACGGTCTGGGAGGCATTTAGTAGAAAAGTTATTTGTCAATTCAAGATTCTCCTTTGAAATTTTTTGTCTTTTTTCCCCCTTTGTTACTTTTGAATGTCAGTCTCCTAACAACTGAAACTTAAATCATACTGTCAATATGCTGCTTAGCTTTCTTAACGTGGGAAGAATCCTCAGAATCTTACGATCATGTCCTTTACAAGGGCCGTTTCTTTTCTAAAGAATTTGTCAATTGAATCTTGTC